GGCTTAAGATAGTTGAGCATTCTGGTTTGGGGGAAATGGCCAGTTTTTCTGTAACTGGGTCACTTCTACTGGGGATCCTCAGAGAGGAAAGGGGAAAAGAGAAGAATGGAAGAGAAGTCGGGGCTTCCAGGGGCGGCTGCAACGAGTGGCCCCAGATTGCGGTGCTGTTTGTGTCCTTCCCAGTGCAGAGGCTGAAGCCTGAAATCAGGGTGTCGCAGGGCCGCACTCCCTCTGGAGGCTCATGGGGAGGGTCCTTCCTGCCTCTTCCGGCTTGTGGGAGGGAGGGAGGAGGAAGAGAACTGAGCTCTGAGAACCCCGCCAAGCTGGGACCCTGGAGCCACCCCGTCCGAGGAGCCTGCAGCTGGATTTGGGCTGTATTGTCTCTACTTCCTTATTTTCTGTATTTCTGATGCTCCGGCATCTGGGGCCTTGATGGCCCTGCAGCGACTGGACGCCCCTCCCAGGGCAAGCCAATGTCTAGATAATAAAGGACTCGTCCATGATCTCAACTTTCAAATACAAACCAGCCCGTGCAGAGTTCTCACCCCAGACGCCCTTCTCTATGGGGCTCTCGCACTCGGAGCCACTACCCACCCCTCCGCTGCCCTAGTCACCCAGAGCAGGTCCCAGACAACCAGGGGCGGCCCAGTGCCCCCAAGTACCCTGAAATTACTCAAACTAGCCAATCCTCAGGCTGCTTACGGGTCCTCGCCTGTTCCTTCCTGCAGAAACCACAATAAAGATGCCTGCTCACATTTTCCCCGTCTCCCTCTGGCCCCCGACCACCCTGGTGCTCCCCCTGTGGGCCTGCACGGCGTGGCGTGCCACCTCCTCTCATGATCTGTGAGTAACAAATCATCCTCTTGATGGCAGCCACCTCCTGACCAGTTGGCCTCACCACGCCCGAATATTGTCAAACCCACAACGTACCACAGGGCCTCAGGAGTGGGTGCCCACATGTGGAAACGCAGCGTCTCTCATGATTCTGCCAAAGTGTGCTCAGAGCCGGCCTGAGGTCTGTCGCCATCATCCCAGCACCATCACCCAGGCCCAGGCCCTGCCACCCCGAGGACGCCGCTCTGCCTGAACGCCGGGGCTGCCCACGTTCACGCTCCAACACCGCTCAGGTGCCAACGCCTCTCCCTGCGCCCCCCTCAAATTCCACATCGAAGGGTATTTTAACCTGAATTCACATGTTTGGAGCTCAAACGGAAAACTCTGTAAAACAAAAAAAGTAATGACGTCTAAAGGGCGGGCAAATGTAGAAAAAAAGTAATGTAGGCATGTTCACGTGGGAAGTTGGGTTCCCGCCAGGTCCGACACACACACGGCTGTTGCTGACGAAGAGAAGCCTCTGTGGCGTCCCGGAAGGGCTCGTGCGTCAAAGGGAACCTGGAAGGAATGCTTCTTCTCCATGGACACTCTTTCCCGAGGACGTGAGGGGTCGCTCTCAGACATGTCACTAAATGCTGGTTTGAAACGTGCGCCACATCAGACGTGGAGCTGACTTAGGATGAGACGTGTCCGGCCAACTCTTCCTCTGGACACGTGCAGGGGGGACACCCCACTGTCCCTGTCTTGTTGGGGACCGTCAGCTCAGCCTTGTGCCCTGGGGCCAGCAGCTGTTATGCAGAGACCCTGAGAGACAGGAGAAGCACGTGGGCTCACGGCTCCCAAGACTCGCCCAGCAATGACCTCAGGTCACCGCGCCTCCTCAGCCCGGGTCCTCCGGCGCCCTGTACTTTGGCCAAAGTCCTGGGCACTGCCTCCTTCAAGGCAGGTCACCTGGGGAGCGTGGAACGGCCCACAGCCTGCTCACACCACAGGGCTGGATCCCCTTCGGGACACACTGGCAGAGTCTGAAAGCATTCCCTTTCGACATCCTCCTCAAGTTCAAGAGGGAGGACGGGCTTGGCTTTTAAAAGGTCATGACGGAGTTGACGGCCGGCCGAGAGCAGCTATGAGTAGAGAAGAGCAGAGGAACTGAGCAGGCCTGGGACCATAGTCACCTTTCCTGCCCCAGGACACGAATACCTGCATGGTCCCTGCATGAGCCCAGAAAGCTGCATCACATGGAGATGAGAAACTGCCACGCCTGCTCCAGGTGCAAGGGGACACGCACAGAGCTGTGTGTGTACAAGTGTGTGCATGTGTATATGTGTGCGTGTAATATTTTTTACATTTATTGTTCTCAGGTTGGGCTCCCCCACTGGACATAATGGTCATGGGGTCAAGGGTGCTTCTGCTCACTGCTGTGTCCTCAGTGCCCAGGACACCAAGCGCACCGGGCAGGCGCTCACACAGCAGGCAACATCTGTGGCTGAATGAGGGCAGCAGGGGGTGGGGAGTCCTCGCCCAGGTGGAATGGTGGAAACGCCACACCTAGAAAACTATCAGCTACACGAGGAGGACGAGGACATCCCTATGCGTGGATCCAACGGGCTCCAGGCCACGTCAGGGAAGAGAGCACGGTGCAGGGCAGAGGTCGTGCCGAGTGACCTCTTGCACGAACACGGTGTGGGTAAATGAAAACACGTGTTCATCGTGCTTGTCTTTGCTGTAAAAACCCTGGAGATGAGGACGGAGGGCTGGTAACAACGGCTCCCTGAGAGGGCCGAGGACAGGGGGCCTCTCCATCTACCTAGTTTCGGTTTTGGAACTCTGTCAATGCATCACTTTTTCAAAAATGCAAAGTTAAGTGAAAAAGCAAACCCCTGCCTCTCCAGAGGACCTGAGCTTCCATTTGCCTGGTGGTAGATAGAGTCTTGGAGTTCCGGAATCTTCCCCGAGCTCACTCAGTCACCTGACTTAGCTGAGCCCTACGGCTCCATCCTACCATGATGTGGGAATTCAGAACCAGGGGACTTGGCCCCAATCCTAAAACGCAGTCAGAGGGAAGGTGTGTGGTGCCAGCAGGGTCCTCACCCAGGACGAAGAAGTGACTCATCTATCCGTGGAAGATCCATGTGCCCACCCCTTCGCCTCTCCCAAGCCCGGGGATGCCATCAGCACCCAGCTGCATGTGAGGACAACTCCACCCCATACATGAGGGCGGCTCCATCCCGTACAGCCAGGCTGGTGTCCAGACTGGCGGTGCCTGTGGGGAGCTCCATGCCTGGACCACAGCCTCTCCAGCCTGACGGCCAGGTGCCAAGCGACAACCACACTGGGGGAGGGGCGGCTCCTTCCAGCACCTTCTCCACCGAGGACCTGGAGACCTGGAGCCACAGTGGCTGATGACGTCTGCGCCGGGCCCTAGGATCCCTTCGTCCTCTGAGCAGCTCATTCCCTGCCTGGAAGAGGCCGACAGTAATGACACCCATGGCCCAGCAGTCGCTACCCTCGTCTGGGACGGACTCTGCAAACCCGCCAACATTACACAGGGCTGTCTGGTTGTGCACGGCCACAGTAGGGGAGGGCCAGGGGCCAAGGACGCGATGTTCCAGGCAGAAGCCATTGCTTCAGCCAAGAGACCAAAGCAGGAAGGCCAGACCCGTCCGTAAAACAGGAGGTGGTCCAGTATGGCCTGGTCAAGCAAGTCGTGAAGACCAAGTGAGAGTCTGATGGCCAGACACAGGTGAGTCACGGAAGGTTCTGGAGCCAGAGAAGGACAGGACCAGAGCTATGTTTTAGGACACCCACCAGGAAGTTGGTCAGATGGGCACGAAAGAGGTGAGGGGGGGACAGGCCAGCAGACCTCTTGAAATAAGACCTCTTAAAGAGAGACCTGAAACAGCTCAGACGTGCAGCCATGGGGGCCAGGGGTGAAAGGGCAGGTGTGGACACGGAAACGACAGGCTCTCATGCTGAGCAGAGAGAAGGCTGAGCACACGATTTACATTCGATCCTTCCTACGGCCCATGAGTGTGGGAGACCGCACTTTACAGATGAGCAAACAGAGGCCCAGACGGCATTAATCGCTGCTCTGAAGGCCCCCACCTGGGGACCGAGCCCAGGGCTGCCCTTAACAGCTTCGCAGAGGCCCTGCTCACCCCACAGGAGGGCACTGGTTGCTTCTCCAGGCTGTGAGGATGCTGAGGAACCAGAACTGACCCAGCACGAGAAAGGCCAGGTAGGGGTGGGCCTGCCTGCTCCCCCACAGCCCACCTGCTGCACCTCAGCACCCCTCGGCCCTCTGACCACGGTGGGTGGGGTGCTCGACCCCACTCAGATGGGGCGGGTGCATAAGGCAACGGTGGGGGAGGGAAACGGACAGGCAGCCTGGGAAGTGATGAGAGACACTGCTGAGCCAGAGAATGGTTCAGAGCCTCCTCCTGTCCCGGCTATCTCCCCTTGACCTGGGGGCCAATATCCTGCCCCTCTGTCCCCCGCCCTCCACCCAGAGCCCCTGCCTCAGACGCCTGCACCACCAGGCTCCCTGGTTGGCCGGCTCTGCCGAGGCTCAGCCAATAGGAGGATGTGAGAAGAGAGAAACAGGAGTATTTCATCCCTGCGACTCATCATACAGCTCCTGCTGGCTCCCTCCTCCTCCGTCCAGCTCTCCGTGCTCCTTGGGAACAGTGTCCTCTCTTTGCTCTCAGTCCATTAAAGACCCTGCATCAGAGACGCCAGGCGGATTCGGTTTCTTGCCAAGACTGCTGCCGACACACCCCCAACCCCACTGTTGCCAGGCGGCATCTGGGAAACATGTGCCCTGTGCATGGAAATTGAGCATCGCACTGTGTCACCTGTGCTCAGAGAGCCCCTGGTCCCAGGCTCTATCAGGGACCCAGGGCCGTTCTCCCCACAACACCAGTCAGCTGTAGCCACCCAGAAATGCACAACCTACCGATTTCTCCAGAGAAGTCAGAAATGTCTGTTTCTGGGTAAATATCCCCGTTTTTAAATGCTGGTGACCCATTCAAGTATTTCAGGAACTCTGCGCAGGTCACACACAACACCGGCAGGCCAGATCTGACCTGCGGGCTGGCCAGCCCGGCCCGGGGGTAACAGGATAAAGGGAGCTGGGCCTCCCGGGAGATGGGGAGGCGGCCGCGCACCTGGTGGATCTCGTGCCAGCCGTTCTCATCCTTGCAGCACACCGCAGCGTGCTCGTGCAGCAGGAGCTCACAGCAGCAGGGGTCCCCGCCCACGATCGCCGTGTGATACAGTGGCGTGAGGCCGTAACTGTCTTTGTAATCCGGGGATGCTCCAAGCTCTAAAAGGGTCTAGGAAAAAGAATCAAACACTCTGGTCACCGGTGTCACAACCCCTGCAGCAAACAGCAAGTCAATCGAGAAAGAAGGATGAGGGTTCCCGTCCCCCCAGCCAAGCCTGACCCAGCCCTCGCTCCCAGGGCTTGTCCTGGCCCTCCCGGAATTAAGGAGCTCCCAACTTGAGACAGGAACGTTTCTGGCCCTGAAGTGGCACGTGGCACCCAGGCACGCAGGACGAGCTTATACACCCGGGAGACGAGGCGGCGTTGTGCAGACGTGGACTTGGGCATTCAGAGAGGCCCATTTGTGCCCCAGCTAATCTAGCGGAGAGCGATAAAGGGAAGGTGACATTTGCGGAGAAGAGAAAAGGTGTACTCTATAACCTAAAAATGCGGTATAAGACTATCTCAGTGTGCTTCCTGGGGGTGGCGAAACCAGCAAGCGTTGTCATCAACACTTGGTCTCCGGGGAAGCCCCCTGACAAGGCGCAGCTGACGGGAAGCTGAGAAATCCACGACTGCAGAGAGAAGCATCATCTCGGGGTCAGCTCACAGCCGTGGGCTCCTCTCCCTCCCCGCCAGGGCCCTGATGGAGCGGGCGTGGGGCATCCACCCTCCTATCTGGATGCTCTGCAGACACAGTGCTGGGGCAGGTAGACCCTGCACAAGGCACAGTGTTGGGAGGAAGATGAGAGGTGAAATCCACACCGCGGTGTCCACTTCCAGAGACCGGGGGGCGGCGGGGGCGGCGGCAGCTAGGCTGGTTGGGTGCCCGCCAGCTGGGTTTGCAGCCTCTTCCCTCGGACGGGGGTGGTTTGAGCACTGGCCTTCCTGGCTGAAAATACCAGCCCTTTGACTGAAGCAGGAGGAAAGAGATGCCCTTTTGTGGACGGTAAATTCTGAAAGCAGCAATACTAAGGAGAGACGGCGGGAGGGCCAGACCGCACCTCCCAGGTCCAGTCAGAACACGATTCGGTGTCACCTCGGGGGCCGCTGTGGGATGGGGACGGGGGATGGGGGCAGACACAGGGGATCAGATGGGGAGGGGGCGCCACCCGTGTTAAGACGGGCTCCGGCACGTACCTTCAGGGCCACTTGGTTCCTGGTTCGCGCGGCTTTGTGCAGGGCCGTCATCCCGTCTCTGGCGCGGAAGTCCAGGTGCGCCCCACCGTTTCTGAGGGCTTTGATCACCTCCACGGAGTCGTCCAGCTGAGCGGCTAAGGTCAGCGGGGTCTCTGAGGGGCCCAGACACACGCACTTTAGAACCAGCACCAGCGGAAACAGCCAAGCTACAGCACTCAGTTCCCCAAGGTCACATCTCTACAGGGGAGCCGGCAGAACTGGCCCCCAGGTGTCACGGCTCCCACCCACCTGTTAACCCCAACGGACCACGCAGTCAGCGTGGCTCAGGCAACCCCAGTGACGATGGCAGTCATGCCTGGGGTCCCATGCAAATCAAAATGGCAACAGAGGCAGAGTTTCAACACTATCGCTTTGTGGGCTGCCAGCCCAAGAGGCTGCCACCGCTGCCTCAGCCCGCAGTACACGGAATCCTGCAGCGCCATCCGGATCTCCCCCTACAGGAAAGGCCATCAATTAGGGCCGCAACGAGAGGCTGGGAAGGCAGGTGCCCGCCATTCTCCATTTCAACTTCACGATGTCCACAGGCAGCTTGGTGGACCCAAAGGAACTGGGCTGCACGGTTGCAAATATAATTAAGACATAGAGTCCACGCCCCGTGGAGGTCTCCATCCAGGAGAGAAGAGAGGCCTGGACAGTCACTGTGATGGGACGGGATCAATGCAATGAAGGACCAACAAACAAAGTGGGCACAAGCCCAGGGGACGGGACGATGAAGCTGCCTCTGTGGGGACCAAGTGTTAAGAAGGCCCCCCTGGCACCCCGTGCCGATGACCCTGGACCAGTCTGTAGTTGGCTGTGACTGAGGATGTCAATATTTGTTAGCATACATCTTTCCTTTCACTCCATCCTTCTTGCACGCCTGCCATCGCCACTGTCGAGCAGGGCACGTCCTTTTAATGTGGTTAATTTGAGACGCTCTTACATCATAGAAAAGTGCAAGGGGCACAATGACAACAGGCAGGTCACCGTGACCCAGAAACACTGATAGTTAATAACGAGTCATCCCATCTTCAAGCATATTTTGAGAATCAAAGAGCTGGGGCATCTTAGACGGGGCTTAATTTCCTTCCGACCACCCATCTTAGTCACAGCACCCTTCACGCCAGAAAAGGCAACTTCATCACGAACTTAGATGGACTACTCCCATCTGTTTTTAATTCCCGCATTTATTTGTCCGTAAATGGGCATTGTTATGAGAGTTTTTAAATTCACCGTAGGAATCACTTTGCACCTTGATTTTTCGTGGTGAGACGCACAAGCTCAACCGAGTCCTTACAGCTAGTGTGCAACACGTGGGCACATCCCAGCACACGTGTGTAACACATAGTTTATGCATCCCCTCCCGATGGAAACGGTGCAATTCCCGTATTCCCCAATTATGAACAATGCTCACCAATACTGCTGCACACATCTCTGTTGTACACCCAGGAGAGGGACCTTCTCACTCAGGGACTTTAAATAAAAATAGTTTTCTGGGACAGTGAAGGGACCACGGTGACACTGGGGACGTTTCCTGCACAGAAAACATCAGCAAGGCAAGGCAGGTGCGACATGGTGAGGGGTGTTTGGGAATTGAGACGGGCTTGGAACAAGGTGGGAGCTCCACGTGTGCACAGAGACGTGCCAAGAGAAGCAAAAGGAGGGGAGACCCCCAGCAGCATCCCGGCCACAAGTATGCAAAGGCATCGGAGGGGGTCTCGGTTCCTGGGAGTGAAAGGATCACCACAGCAGGGCGGTGCGTGAGAGGGTGACCCGCGAAGGGCGTAAAGGACCGGGTCATCAGGAGCCGCCAGCATCTACGCTGCAAAATCCAACCTCTTCCGGCAACGTAAGGAAGCCAGCCTCCTCGAGTGCAAGGCCAGTGCATGTTTAAGACTGACGCACGCCTAGGGCAGGGTCAACCTTCAAAACAGTTAGGATTTTTCTTTCTTATTTGGCTGTCCACGCGTGGCCAAGGCAAAACCTAGGGGGTCCAAAGGAGATTTGCTTCTTAAGTTTACGCCGCACTATTTTCATAGCTGACAACCTCGGCGTCTTTCTATAATGAGAATACCGTCTCAGAGAGAGGTGGTGGCGAGTGGGAAAGCCAGAACTGAGACTTGGATCGTGACCTCTGACCCCAAATTACAGACCCCTGCAGCCGAGGCACATCCCGGTAGACAGTGCTAGGCATGTGGTTGCCGCTGAGTTAATATGTCAGCAGAGAGAGCTGGACACCCGTTAATGGCTGTGTGTCTTACGTAGGACTTGGGGACCTCCAGCCCTTGGACAACATCCAGGGCCATCCAGTGACACATGGCAGCTTTCTGGAGGGCTCCAGAAGCCCTCCTTGAATGACGCTGCAGACTTGCCTTGTTCAGACCTGGTCAGGACCCACCCTGGTGAGGTCAGGAGAGCCCCCCAGTGTAGACCACAGGTTCAGGAGGGGGACTTCCAACGAGGGACACGGAGGCTGATGGGACCATCCCAAGAAGATGCTTACCAATCAACTGAAAATCTGTGACCCTGAGAGGGCTGCACTGTCTGTACAATCGATTAATGTGTGATCATTCCTCTAACGACAAGCTTAGGAACTGCACAGTCATGTGGCACTAGAATTCTTTGAAAATGTTCCTCTGGGTTTTTTTTCGTTTGTGTATTTATTTTTTAAAGATTGGTCCCTGATCTAACATCTGTTGCCAATCTTTCTCTTCTTCTTCTTCTTTTTCTCCCCAAAGTCCCCCAGTATATAGTTGTATATTCTAATTGCAGGTCCTTCTGGTTGTGCTATGTGGGACGCTGCCTCAGCGTGGCCTGACAAGCGGTGCCATGTCTGCGCCCAGGATCCGAACCAGTAAAACCCTGGGCCGCCAAAGCGGAGCATGTAAATTTAACCACTCAGCCACAGGGACGGCTCCTGTTCCTCTGTTTTTGCATTTTGAAATTTCTTCAGTTTTAAAAAGTATACTGGAACCTCAATAAGTATAACCTAAAAAGCGGCCCCAGTCTCTCTCAACTTTAGTGGCTGGTGAGAGGAGAAACTGCTTTAATCTTTTGAGATGACCTTGAAGACATAATGCTCTCTAACCTAGAAGCTGCCCAGCAGCATTTTGGCTCCCGGGAATGACCAGGATGTGCTTTGAGAGGCATGACAGGAAGATTTTCGGGTGTGAGATGTGGGGGGCACCTAGAAACACAGCAAGAGAGCACCAGCTACAGGGCTTCCAGTCTGTCCAGACGAGGGGATGAAGCACGCTGGCAGATAGATTGATAGGTGGATGGGTAGATGGATGGATAAGAGGGCAGGTAGGTGAGTCGAAGGATGGATGGATGGATGATGGGTGGATACACGGATGGATGGATGGATGGATGGGTGGATACATAGATGGATGGATGGATGGATGGATGGATGCATGGATGGATGGATGGATGGATGGATGGATGGATGGATGGATGGATGGATGGATGGGTGGATGCAAGGATGGATAGACCAGTAGATGGATGGGAGGATGGATAAGTGGATAGGCACTTGTGCTCTTTGGACTAGCAGCATGGCATGACCTGGGAACTGGCTAGAAATGCAAAATCTCCAGTCCCACACAGATCTACAGAGTCAGAATTGACATTTTAACAAGATACCCAGGTCACCACAGGCGTCAGGTCTAAGACACACAGTCCTCGAGCACGGTTCTCCCACCTTATTAGGTACGTGATCAGCAAACAGGCAAAGAAAGAAAAATGCTGGTGTCTACCTTATCTGGGTCTATCCCTTCAAGTGTAAGTTATACACAACCATGGGAAAGATCATAGTCTTTTTAACAAATGGTGGTGGGACAACTGGATTTCTACATGCAAAAGGATGAAGTCGGAGCCCTACCTCACACCGTATACAAAACGTAACTCAAAATGGATCACACACCTAAGTGTAGGAGCTAAAACTATAAAATGTGTAGAAGAGAACACAGGAGTAAATCTTAGTGACCCCAGGTCAGACAATTTTTTTCAGATATGACACCAAAAGCACAAGCAACAAAAGACAAATAGATAAATTGGACTTTATCAAAATTAAAAACTTTTCTACATTAAATATACAATTAAGAAAGTGAGGGGGCCAGCTCCATGGCTGAGTGGTTAAGTTTGTGTGCTCCCTTGGGCAGCACAGGGTTTGCCAGTTTGGACCCTGGGCGTGGACCCTCACACCGCTCATCCACCCATGCTGTGGTGGTGTCCCACATACAAGAAGTAGAAGGACTTACAACTAGGATATACAACTATGTCCTGGAGCTTTAGGGAGGAAAAAAAAGAGAGGAAGATTGGCAACAGATGTTAGCTCAGGATCAGTCTTCCTCACCAAAAAGCATACCTTAAAAAAAAAAGAAAGTGAAAAGACAATCCACAGAATGGGAGACAATATTTGCAAACCATGTATCTGATAAGAAACTTGTACCCAGAATATATAAAGAACTCTTACAACTCAACAATAGTAGACCAATAACCCAATCAAAATACGGGCAAAGGATCCAAATAGACACATCCCCAAAGGTTTAAAAATGGCCAATAAGCTGGGGGCCAGCCTGGTGGTGCAGTGGTTAAGTTTGCATGTTCTAGTTCGGCAGGTGGGGTTCCCAGGTTCGGATCCCAGGTGTGGACCTACACACTGCTTATGAAGCCATCTTGTGGCAGGCGTCCCAAATATAAAGTGGAGGAACATGGGCATGGATGTTAGCTCAGGGCCAATCTCTCTCAGCAAAAAGGGGAGGATTGGCAACAGAGGTTAGCTTAGGGCTAATCTTCCTCAAAAAAAAAAAAAAAAAGGCCAATAAGCAATTGAAAAGATGCTCAATATTATTGGTCATTAGGGAAATGCAAATAAAACCGCCATGAGATAAGACTTCAGACTCATTAAGATGGCTGTAATAAAAGATAACAGTAAACATTGGTGAGGAAGTGGGGAAATGGGAATGCTCGTGCACCCCTGGTGGTGTACGAAATAGTGCAGCCGCTCTAGAAAGCTTTCTGACTGCTCCCAAAAGGTTCAACACAGAGCTACCATATGACCCAGGAATTCCACCTCCAGGTGTACACACGAGACAAACGATAACACGCATCTGCA